ATTTATTAGATTTATTAGTTTCCATCCGTTGCTTCTTGTTCTGCCTTTTGGTGCTTTGGAAAATAGGTTGACCCCCACTTCTTTTGGCAGTCCCTCAAATATTGGAACACTGCTATTGTATTATTTCCATGAAACTAGACATGTACAATTCCCAAATCACCATTTATGACTTTAATCATAGGAAAATAATAAATCTAATAAATTGAATTGAATTGAATTGAATACTTCAAAAAATCATGGCTAGAGGTTCAGTAGATCTCAAGGAATGTGTCCTGGGAATATTAGTTATCATGAACTCCAAATTGTCTAATCATGAGTTAAAGATAATTTTAAAAAGTTTATTCCAAGATATACACCTCAATGTGCAAAAGCTACTCAAAATATTGACCATCTGAAAAGTCAGAATGTTTAAAAGTGAGCGAAAATATAAAACAACAACAACTAAATGATGATGAAATGAAAGCAAATTATAAGTTGGTGATTTTTTCCATACAAGTTTTTTTTTTATTATTATGGTAAGGAGTAAAAGTTGGATGAAGAGAAATTAGGGTTCCCAAGTGGTGAAGAGACAGTTATCTGCTTTCCACAGTTCCAGTGTGGCATTCTTATTATCTTGCTGTCAGTTTTTTAATGCTTTGCCTCATCTAACCATGTGATAAATGTCATATCTAGTCTAGCCTTTAGGTAACAGGTTTTTTTCTTTCATTTACCTGAAATCTGATTACAAGCCTCCTGCAGTATGTATAAATCCCAAACTGAAATTATGACTACAGTTTCCACTCCCTCTTTATCAGCCCAAGAGCAACATACAGTAGATCTTGCTTTCTCCACATGGAGTTCAAAAGAATCATAATGCTTGTCTCAATAAATATTTCATAGTACATTTGAAAATAACATAAAGCCTTTTTGCAAAGTAAGCGGCTTTCAGCAACCTCATGAGGGAAGACCACAAATGCAATGCAGCAATAACAAACACAGTTCAATAATGGAAAATTTCTGGGACACCATTTTGATTTAATGTTAAGACTGACAGATTTCTGTAAACGTTGTTGGCTGGGAAAAGGCTTTAATTATATAAGATTTTTCTTTGTCTTTTGAATAATTCAACAAATAAAGCAATAATTAGGGGGAAGTAGAAGTTAAGAAGAAATGAGGAAAAAATCTGACAGAAAAATAATGCCACTGATAACTTTAAATAAACTAACTCAGTGTAATATGGGGATGAGGAACCTATGACCTTTTAGATATTTCTGAATTACAATTCTCATAAATACATTCAGCGTGGCCAATGAGGACAAAGGCTGCCAGCTATAGTTCAAAACCACCAGTCATATGAAAAGTTCTTTGCTGTTATACACTGGTCCATGGTAAAATCTTAATGAAAAAGTACAGACGGAAGTTAGAGACAATTGTTGAGGGTTTTTTTTTAAAAAAAATACATTTTATGCAAGCAAAAATCAGTATTTCACATGAAGGGAATAAGAGAGGAGAAGAGAAATGAAGACATACATCTAGAAGAGAATGTGATTGTCTCTAGTGAGATAAACAGGATAATCGGGAACAAGAATTTTTGACTACTTAAGTTTAGCAATTCAATGGAGGTTCTTGAGATCTATTTATAACTCTAAATAATATAAATATATATTATTTATAACCATATTTTATTTTATTGCCTGTCTTCCATTCCATTCTAATTTCAGCAGGTCCTTGTTTTCTTTTATTCTTCAAATTGTCTCCTAAGACTCGCCCTCTGATTGTCAATATAACTGATACAATTATCAGCCTCTGATTGTCAATACAATTTATATGTTCACTGCTGTGGATTTGGGGATATTCCAGATTATTTTATGTATATATCCTGCCAAACCCTTTGACTCATAGCGGTTTATATTGTACAAATCATTAAAATATTAGAATACAATTAAAGCCATACAGAGTATAACATTGCAACATCAAAATAAATAAACAATAAATAATAATAATAGTCTCAAATACACTGGCAGGTATCCAACAATCTCTCTTGGAAGATTCTTTAGGTTTTGAGTCAGACAGAGATTGACTAGTATCCTGCTTATATTTTATTTAAAAACTTGTCATAATTCTTCAGTCTCTTTCTCTAGTTCAACTACATTCCACTCAGAGCTGGAAGATTCACATTTAGCATCACCTGATCTTTGAAACAGTGTTGCTTCATAAGCAGTTCCCTCATCTAATTTAAAGAGCCCTGGTGGCAGAATGGTGAGAACACAGTATTTCAGGCAAACTGTCGGAAATGACTAGGCCAAGCCTGAGGGAGGGATTGAATGATTTATAAGTCATAAGTCCTTTTGTGCTGCTGGAGATCTACGTCCAGCTCATCTTGAATTCCTTCCTATTCTTAACCCCCACACATTTCCCTTAATGGTCTCTTGGCCAGATTTTGGTTGAGAACTTAAACTTGCAATATATCTTTATCCTCATTTGAACTGTCTGAATCTCCTGATTTTCTGGGTGCTTGACACAAACTTTGCCCACAGCCAGGAGTCTGATCATGACTGGCTCAGGGTTGACTCAGCATAATGAATGCTGATCTGCTTTCAGTCTAACTTTTTTTCAGAAAGCCTTATGGACATAAAATGAGGAGATTTCCTGATAGATTATTCTGAGCACCTTGGAAAAACTTTATACTCTTTTAACAGTCGTAAAAGTTTGAGAGATGTAAAAATTTATNTGTTGAATTTTCCATAAATTATAACAGAAAGATGAGTTTGGAAAATACAGAAGGAATACAATGTGAAATTGCCAATAAGAGATAGATCATTAAGCAAATAGACTAATCTTGCTCTGCTTCATTGAATAGAAGATATTCTGATCATCAATAATAATAATACGGGTCTATACATTTTGTTATCTGGACCTCTCAAACTTTTCAAGAGACCCAAGAATCAAAATCTTTTATCATTTTGATTAACTATGATCCATTCCTGCTAATAGTGTAGGCACATTCAATTCAGACTAGCACCACCGTAGAATTAGGTATTAGATACTGTATAACTGATTACCACAAATAGCAGAAGCATCCCAAGATTACTATATCTGTCACTCCCACAGCAGTTTCTACCTCAAGCTAACATTTTCATCCCTTCCTGTATATCCTATTCCAAATGGGAGCAACAAAAGGATTTATTCTTTAGAGAATACATAGATGCTGCTGTAGGAAGGTTCACAGAGTGATGCATTCTGAGTTCCTTGCATTAACCTTTGTTCTAAGCATCACCTCAGGGTGATGCCCATAGAGTGGCTGGCCAGGCTAAACATCTACCCTGAAATTTCCTAGCCT